TTTGTATGCCCAACTGACAGACATTGACCCCTCTACATACCCTGCTGCGGGCGCGCCCTGCGGCCCGGAGCTCAGCCACTTCGAAGGTGGGCAGGGGGGCCCCAGAGGCGAGTAATATTCCCCAGCAGAGGAGGCCTTGGCAATCGCGCTGAAACTCAATGTCGACTGCGGTCCTCCGGACAAGCCCACTGAGGTTCACGGCTTAACCGCCGAACCTGGTCCAGATGACCCACGGCCGCCGACTCCGTCTGGCGCGCTCCAGCCAATGGCCGCAAACATACTTACGAACATATTACACGGTTCGCGCGTGGCTCGATTTGACATGCTACGAGCTGCGTGTCACGCAGCTAGCTGTGTCACCGAGTGGACAGAACAGCGAGGCATGGATCTCTTGCGCCTGATCTGCTACATTAAATCGACAACCCACTGCCGAATGGCATCATGGGTTGGCGGCAGGATGGAAGATGACAGTGTGAGGCTTGCCGGTGATCTGCGAACTCACCGCAGTACCAGTGTCAGCCAGCAAGTTATTTGGGCACTCTACACAAGAGCCAACCAGAGCATGGCCTCTCGTCGGCAAACGCGTGTCCCAAAGTGCACTTGAAGCAGAAATCGCAGCGGCGGATCTGGCACTGATGACAGAGTTGTTGCCTGCACTGCCCCTGCGGGAAATTTTGCCATAACGAAAAGTGATGTGCACATCTATGGAAGATAATCACGCAGTGTGCAAGGTCATGGGAGCGGGGGTGTCGATGGAGTCAACGTGCCTCTCGAGGGCGCATCGCGCAGATGCCGCTGCAATCCCTGCGCAAATTATTCGAGGAATTGTTGACCTACAGAATGAGCGTGCGCAAAACGACGCCGCTGATATCGGTGCCGAGCGCTTTACGGACCCATTGGCATGGGTCAAAGGGTTTTGCCTGGTAAATCTTGTTACTCCCAAATTTTGGAAAGTCACGCGCTACCAGAATTTCCTGGCGCCGATGTTCACTGATGGCCTTCCCCTGACACCTGGGGGATTCTCAAGCCGCGCATAGGTTCCAAGGCGGCGGCGCGCCAGGGAGTTGTTGTGCCAAGCAAAAAGACGCATAAAAAAAAAATGCGAGCGACTCAGGGCAAGCCCGCAAGGGGCCGGTAACGCCACGCGCTGGCACAATAAGGCCTGGCGGCGAAGCAGCGAGCCCAGCGTCAGCTTCCGGCTCAGCCGCGGCAGCCGCACAACACGTCAATGATGCGCGCGGCTCAGCCGAGGACGCGCGCGGCGCAACACCTTCCGCGACAGGCAAGAAAGGTTTCAGGAACAGCTCCCATAAGTGCAAAATCAGAGAAGGCAAATAACTTATGACAATGTTTGATATGACTGGCAGCGAATCTGACGCATCGGATACACGCGTTCGAATCTGATATTCCACAAGTACAGGAAGAGGGGGGGGGCAATGACAAAATCACGGATGCGGCGGTAGCCAAATCGCAAGGTAATGGGCCGACTCAGTCGGCCCCGCAGCAAAAGAAGGGTCATTCGATGATAGCGCGCGAATGGAAAGGCGAACGTCTAATGCTTGAATATTGCTGCGGACCCAGCAGTAGAATCGGCAACCCCAAGAACTTTGTCGACCGTTCATGTAAAGTTATACGATATACGGAGCACGAAGGCATGATATCTGATGAGGATAAGTGTAAAGCGCTTGCGGATATTAAAGTGTTCAAGGCAGAACGCATTTCGTTCTGGGGCTCCATCCCATGCGCGGGGGATCTCCATGGCAACATGCTAACGATGCTCATTATTTCCGTAAGGATGATCGTAAATCACTACGTAGGCTTCGGGGCATCAGGACGGACTTCAGACACCTGCTTTGGAGCTTCATGTAGAGCGCGCGCTGCCGTCGAAGCGGGGGGAACCGCCTGCGTCGAATGACCCAGTCAATGCCAATATTGGACAGACCCTCAGGTTAAAGCTTTCGTGCAAGAGATAGGGTTGCATAAGTCATTTCTGCGCAGGTGCGCGCGCGGCTTGCGAGACAGAAAAGGGAACTGCATGAAAAAGCCAAGGGCTATTGCATCCACGTCGGATACAGTGACGACCGGATTGGAGCGCAAGCGTGATGGCGCGCATGCACATGTTGAAGCACGGGGTAAGGATTGCACATTTTCTGTAGATTACTGTTCCTTGCGCACGTTAGGTTCATTTAGCGCTCGCGCGTGCTGCGTCGCATTTATGTTTTGACCCCGCCTCCTCAAATCATGATATGTGTGCTGTTGCCGTTTTCTCTCAGGCCGAGGCGGGCCCGCCGTCGGCCGGCCTCCCCGCAGTTCGCGCTGCCGCCTTGCCGCGGCCGCGCCCCCCATGCTGGCTGCGGAACTCATTCTGCGGCCTCCCGCGCGCCGGCCGATCCCGCTCGTCAATCACTGGACGTCCCCACGGTTCAACCGATTGGGATGGCCAGGAAGGAAAGATGGTTTTCTGGTGTAAGACCATACGTTGTCGGTACCTCGTGGGGCTTGGCTGGACGCGATTCAAGCATGCCGTCGCAGAGGAAGACGTGCGCGAACGATTTTGTGACCCGCAAGAAGAGTCGGTTCCGGCCCGGGCAAAGGGGCGCTGCGGTACCCTTGGATGGGCCGAACATTGCTGTAGCACATGTTGGCGAGTTTCCTTCGGGGACTGCACTGGGGGCTTCTGCCGCGACAAGGACTGCCGTCAACGCATTGCGGTCCCGGATGAACCCGACGCGATGCTACGAGGAGCGGCCAAGAAACCGAGGACAGAGGGTTCCCCGCCGGCTCAGTCGGTTGGGGACACCAAGGACCCGGCAGCAAAGCCCGTGGTACAGCGCGTCGAATTTGGCGGCGCATCGGGCCCAGGCTACAGGGACTGGACGGACTATGAGATACAACGCGCGTGCCATGTTGAATCGCTTGAACCAGGGAAGGTTGTCCGCTGCTTTTTTTCATCCAGGAGCCGATGAAATTCGCTCCGGCCGGAGAGGCTGGCTGTAGCGGGTTCTGTTGAAGAGATCCCCTTCGTAGCTGCACTCGGAGTGACTTCGTCATTGCCAAGATGATTGAAAACCCTAAAGAATGCAATGGGCCGGTCATCCAAAGACAGTGTGAGAAAGTGTCCGAGGACCCGTGGATGTTCTTCTGGGCCGCCTGCCGGGAAGGCCCCGGGAATCATTGCAGGGGCAGTTTCGACGGCCCCCCTCCGGATCTAGGAAAAATTCAGGTGGGCTTTCAGCCCCACGTCGACCCGCACACGATTTTGAGATGCCAATTCTACAAAGGAAAGCCCCGAGATCGCGATTGCAAGATGCTTCGACGTTGTGATCGCGGTGATCTGTTGGGCCCCGTGCTGGGGCCGGCGGAGTTTACCCATCTGAAGCACATAGGCCACTTTGTCACAGCTCGCGTTTCCGACAGGAAATTGGACGAGATAGTCTACCTGAACATCTGGGGACCTTCCCGCAACAAGCCCCCGCGCGGCTCAGCCGCTAACATGGGGGGGGGACCTATTTTGCACCCCCTGTGGTCAGGGGAGATGTTCATGCGAGGACCCATGCGGTAGAACATGCCTTGTCTAAAAAAACGATGGCCGAATGCCAAGAGTGGAAGACACTACAAGAAGAACCGTCCGCAAAGCGGGCCAAGTTCCGCTCGGCGGCTCGGCCGTCCGAAGCAAAATCACCCAACGTTGTGGTCGAAAAGTCTCAGGCGGCGGCCGAGTGACGCTTGCAGCTCGAGGCCGACGAAAACTGTTAAAGTTGAGTCGTCCCTTGGGACTGAAGACATGGCACCTCCATCCGAGGCGCCGCGGTCTCAGCCCCTTGGCCCAGCGCAACCTGCAGCAGGTGGTTCCGCCCCCTCTGGTCCAGCCGGTAGCAGAAACATCTGGGACCCCCCCCTGGCTCAGCCGGAGGCGGGGGTGTGCCTGTGGGGCGCGGAGGTCACGATGGAAGTGGTCTGCCGCCTCCAGGTGCACCGCCCGGATATGGGGGAGGGGCCCCCCCGCCCAGTCCTGGCCCACCGCCTCCTCCAGCTCGGGGGGAAAAGCAGGAAGGGCCTGACCGAGCTTACTTGTTCCGTGGGATTTGGAACGAACTTGAACACGTGGGAAGCGAAGGGGCCGGCTCAGCCGCTCCCCTGGCCAACGTCCCGCTCGAATGGGGCCCTGCACGTTTGCACCCTTATTTCTCACACAGTAACGCCACAGCTTCATGCTAAGGCTTGTCGAACGTAAAAAGAGGAGGAGGAAGAGGAGGAGGATGAGGAGGAGGAGGAAGAGGAGGGGGAGGAGGAGGAGGAGGAGGAGCAGGAACAGGAGCAGGAGCAGGAGCAGGAGCAGGAGCAGGAGGAGGAGGAGGAGGAGGAGGAGGAGGAGGAGGAGGAGGAGGAGGAACGGGAAGAACAGGAGGAACATTAACTCAATAAGCAAGACGTGCAGGCGGCAACGTGCGTGCAGGACTCCCGTTCTTTACCGGTTTTCAAGGTTTTGTGTGAGTGCCCCCAGGGGCCGCCCCGCGCCCGCGACCAGAGGTAATTGCTCTTGAGATCGCACCCGGGATTTTAGTACACCTTGGCTTGTTGTGGTGGCGAATTTCAAGGAACAGGGATGCGGTGAGGAGGGGGGGGGGGACGAGGAAGACGAGGAGGATGAAATAACGGAAGAGAAGGAGGAGGAAGCGGAGGAGTCTTGCTCCCTTTTCTCCTTCCTCCATATTCCTCAGCCTCCCACCGCGTCTTCCGCTGTAGTCCATCCCAGGATGGCCTCCCTTCCCGCCGTCGTCGTCGTCTTCCTCCTCTTTTCCATTTCTCCTCGCCCGTTCCTCTTCCTTCGCTCCCTCAGCCCCGCTGCCCTCCCACCCCCTTCCCCGCTCTCCATCCCTCTTCCCTCCTCTTCCGCCCTCCTGCCTCCATCCCCCCTCCCCCTGAGATCCTCTCTCATCCCTCCCTCTTCCCTTCCTTTTTTCCCTCCTTCCCCCCCTCCCTCCCCCTCCCCTTCCCTCCCAGCGCAGCCGTCCATCCTCGGTACCCCACAACACCCATGCCGGCCGCGTGCTTTCCCCGCGCGCCCGCCTGAGGGCCTCCCCCCCGCTTGTGTCTTCGGAGGCCAGGCGGGGGGGTGGGGGGAGCGGCGTGGGCTGCACAAGCCAGGGCCCTCGGGTCCGGAGGGCCGAGGTCGTCGTCGCCGTCGCCGACGCCGTCGTCGTCGCCGTCGAGGTCGCCATCGCCGTCGCCGTCGCCGTCGCCGTCGTCGTCGTCGTCGCCGTCGTCGTGGTCATCGTCGTCGTCGTCGTATGGGTCGTCGTCGTCGTCGTCGTCGTCGTCGTCGTCGTCGTCGTCATGGTCGTCGTCGTCGTGGTTGTCGTCGTCGTCGTCGGCGTTGGCGTCGTCGTCGTCGTCGTGGTCGTTGTCGTCGTCGTCGTCGTTGTGGTCGTCGTCGTCGTCGTCGTCGTCATGGTCGTCTCCTGGCGGCGAGTAAGGGGGGGGGACTTCGGAGGTGGGATTGGACTTGCGCGGCTCGAGCCAGAGCCTTCAGGTCTGCAGGGCCGAGGCTGTGAGGGGAAGGACGTGGACCTGCGAGTTCGCCCGCAGCCCAATCTACCAGTCGTCGCCAAAGACCTGGACCTCCGACGACACGGCTTTGTTTCAATCGTGTTCTGTTCTTTCTCCTCGGGTTGGGCCTCCTCGGCGAGGGCAGAGTGAGGAGTGCGGAGAGAGGTACGAGGCGCGGGGAGGATGGATGAAGAGGGATGAGCGAGGGGCGAGGATCGGTGGCGAGCAGGGGGAGAAGGGACAAGGAGAAGGCTTTCTCAGACGGCGGTGGGACGTCTCAGAAGCCCTCGGGCCTTTCAGAAATGTCCCAGATCTTCGCGGAAGGTTCAGGGAATTTCTCAGACGGCCGGTGGAATTCCGAGACTTCTGAGAAGGCTCGCCCCTTCTCCCTTCCCCTTTGGTCTCGCCGCCGAGAGGAGCGACGAGGGAGGAGCGTGGTTGGACGAGAAATCATGCAGCTGTGCCCACCTCTGTGCTCTCGTTGGCTACTCCAACTTGTCATGCCTCTCCGCCCCTGCACTCGGTTTGTTGGCACGCGCTGCCCGTGTAGACTCCAACGGGGCACCGCCGACGTGGATCTTCTTGTTCAACCTGACCGTGGCCGCGAATCAGGGCGCATGGAGGAGGAGGAGGAGGAAGAGGAGGAGGAGGAGGAGGAGGAGGAAGAGGAGGAGGAGACAGGTGTTTGGTCGGAGCTTCCTGGAGGGCGGGCCTCGGCGGGGGGGGGGGGGCCGACCGGGGGCCCAAAGCGGTGCGGTGACAGACCGTGCTGTGACCGCGAAGTCCCCGAGGACCTCACCGCGCGGTCCGTCACCGCACCGTGCCGGAGCCCTGGAGGCCCCAGTCGCCCGAGGCGTCCTCGGAGAGCTGCCCACGCCCCGAAACCTTGCAGTCACCTCGACTCAAAACTGACTCTCCGCACGGTGCGGTCACCGCACCGCTTGGAGCCCACCGACACGCGCGCTTTGCTCGGCCCTGCCCTCTCTCGCCGTTTCCGGGGGGCCCGCGCACGGTCTTCTGGGCAGACCTCCGTCCTCCATCCCCCCTCTCCATCCTCCATCCTGCTCCTCCTTCTCCCTCCTCCTCCTCCTCCTCCTCCTCCTCCTCCTCCTCCTCCTCCTCCTCCTCCCTCCTCCTCCTCGTAGGGACTGGGACCTTCTCTCTCCTCGCTGCTGTTGCTGCTGGTCCGCCTCTCCCCCCTGGTGAGGGTTCCCTCCTCCCTCCTCCTCCTCCTCCTCCTCCTCCTCCTCCTCCTCCTCCCCTCCCTCCTCCCTCCTCCTCCTCCTCCTCCTCCTCCCTCCTCCGTCCTCCTCCTCCTTCTCCTCCTCCTCCTCCTCCTCCTCCTCCTCCCTCCTCGTCCTCCGTCCCCCGTCCTCCTCCCTCCTCCATCCATCCATCCATGCTCCTCCTCCTCCTCCTCCCAAGACCGCGCGGTGACCCTGGATCTCCACCGACTCGCCACACTGCGTGGCCGCCGCGCCCGTTTGAGGGCCACGTCGGTCGGCCCCAGGCCACATGGCTGCCCGCGCGCTGGCGGCGCTGCTGGCCCTGGCGGCGGTGCGCGCGGAGGGGCGGACCGCGCGCTCGGAAGGGTTTTCGGGAGCCGGCGGGGGCGGCCAGAGCGTGCTGCCGTCGGGAACCTCGAGAAGGAATGGGAACAAAGACGGGCAGCAGTTCGTGCCCATCTCGAACAGGGCTCGCTATCCGCGTCGCTGCGGACGTTGCCCATTGAATACGCAAGGTCGCCTCCCCAACAGCGGCCGCTGTCGGTTTGGGAAAACATGGGCATCGTACCCATGTTTGTCCGTACCCACTTCCACTTCGGGCGTCCAAATGAGACGGGGGTTAGTGCAAACGGGGTTCAGCCAGAGCGCCGGATCTTGCAGGATTCTGCAGAGCCAGGGGTGCACTGACCCGGGTCTGCGCGCAGGATCCTGCCCGATGTTGCAGGATCTTGCAGGGTGCTGCCAAGCCCGATTGACCCGGGTTTGCGTTGACCTGGGTCAGTTCGTCCCCGATGCCAGCAGGATCTCCTTGGCTCCTCTCGGGGGAAGCCTTCGGGGAGTTACGTCGGCTCCTCGTCGGGGACAGCATTAGAGTGCTTTTGGCCGCGACCAGGTGCAACGTTGAGGGCTTTCGGACGTCTTCGCCGGATCCCGGATGTTTTCCTGCCTCGGGATGTGTCACAGCAGCTGCGCCTTGCTGAGAGGCGGCCTGGGACGCCCGTAATCTCTCCGAACGGCCGCCGGAGAGGCGAGCTCCGATCCGAAAATCACAGGGCAACTTTGGGCGGAGAGGCTCCGCGGGGTGGTGCATCGACCCCCAAACGTCCACTGATCGCCGGTAGGGTCCCCATGGCCCAGCCCGCCCAGGAGCGGGCGGTTCTGATCCCGGGGGCCTGCGCCGATCTCCGTGGGCGAGGTCTCGCCGATGCAGGCCCGAGGCTTTGCCCCCCGGAGCGGGTGCCTCCCTCGCGTTGCCCCTCCTTGCCCCTGGCATGGGGCCCAGGCCTTCCCCGCGTCGAGAAGCAAGATCTCGCAACTGCTTCACGGCGCGGGGAAGTGCCAAGCAGAAGCGTCCGTGCCGCGGCGCCACGGCCGCGTTTGTTTGGCAATCAGCGAGCTGCCCGGGGGGCCCTCCGCAGGCCCCGTGGCCGTCGGAGAAGGACTCGGGATAAGAGGGCCTTGGCATCGCTCGGACGAGTGCACTTTTGCTCGGCAGGGACCACCGATGAGCATGTGAGGTCGTCTTGCGAAAAATACGCGCACGAAGCCGCATCATGCACGGGGAATGGACGTCCGAGCGATGGCGAGGGGCGGTCCAGGGGAAGCGGTCTGAGCTCTGGATGGAGTGGGGCTTTCCCCCAGGTGACGCTGTCTTCTAAGAAGGCCAGTGTTGGTTTCACTATGTCGTGCTGCTCGTCTGGGGCCGCGGCATGTTCAACGTTCTCCTGTGACAAAGATCACGGCGTCGGAGGCTCGTGGGCGTCAACTGACCACAGCTGGCCGCATCTTGGGCCCAGGATCGGTGTGCACGCCTCCCAGGCCAAGCTGTGGAGGCGTCGGTACCGATCTCGGGTCCAGGATTGGTGCTGTCAGTTGACGTCCTCCGATCGTCCTCTCGGCGGCGAGCCCGCGGGGGAAGCGCGCTCGCTCGCTCGCTCAGCCATGCATCCGGAGGGACGCGTCGGCAGACTTAAGGTTGCGTCGTTGGCAACCGAGTGGAAGAAATCAGATGCGCGTCGGCAACGGCAGCTGGAGCGCCAAACGCGCCGGACAAAAGGGCAGAAACGCGCCGGACAAACGGAGCGCCAAGGGGCAGAAATCCTCAGAAGGCTCGGAAGGCCCCGGACTTCCTAAGAAGCTTTCCAAGTCTTCCCCAGAGACGCAGCAACCTCCTCGGCAGGCCAGAGGGCTGAGAAGCCCCGCCGCCTTTGAGAAGGCCTGCTCCTTCTCACTTGCCCCCCGGCGCGCCGCCGACAGTTGACGTCCCCCGAGCCTTTTCCTCGGCCATGATGCGAAGGGTTCCTGGAGGGCTTTCTTTCTGCTCTCTGGCTCCTCCCGGGGGTCTCCCCAGGCCACAGGACCGTCGGGCCTGGGGCAATCCCCCTCGAACCTCGGGTGCAGGAGCCGATTCTACCAGGACGCTTTTCAGATCATTTTCCCCAGGCCGCGTCTGCACCGAGGGGGTCTCACTCCTCGCAGCAGTAGCTGGGCCTGTGCGCCGGTCCAGCCGGCTCGTGGCCACCCGTCGCCGCCCGTCGTCGCCGCCGCCCGTCGCCGCACCGTTTCGGTCACGGCTTGAGCGGTGCGAGGCGAGGCTCGCAACTGGGGCTGCGCGCCAGTCTTGTTGGCTTGTGGCCGCCCGCCGCCGCCGTCCGTCGCTGCACCATTTTGGTAGTGATTCTGATGGTGCGAAGCTCGCACTCTGCATTCCTTTGCATTCTGTTGCGTTGCTTTGTGTTGTCCTGCATTGTTTTGTGTGGGGCTACATACTTCATGCCATTGGACTGTTGTGGGCACCTTCCCACAGCCGTGTCGGTTCAAAAAGAGTTAGTCATGATAGCGGAGCCTGGTTGCCTAACCAAGTCCTCACCCGATCCTCCGACTGATTTCGAGTTAGTCGGCATCCATAGCAGCAGCGGCGAGCCTTGTGAGGTTGGCGACGGTCGCGGGCACGCTGCTGCTGGGCCCGTGTGGTGCTGGCGGCGGCTGGTGCGTATCATCTACAGGAGTCGGAGGCTGCAGCACATCTGGGGGCACCTTGGACTCTGGCTGCAGCGAGCTTCTAAGGAGCTCCAAAACGAACGGTTGTGATGGCGACGGAAGAGCAGATGCGGCAGTTGATGGCGCAGGTGCAAGACCTCACGGTGGAACTCACGAGGCAGAGAGACCTGGTGGCGACGCTCCAGACTCAGAGGGCAGAGGAGCTGGAGAGGATGACAAAGCTACAAGAGACCGTCATCGCGGATCGCGAAGCGAAGAAGGAGAAGGTGCAGTTCGTGGGCGTCGAGGGTACTGGCAAGCCAACGACCTTTAATACCGATATGAAGACATGGACGAGCTGGTCCTTCAAGCTGGGGAACTTATTGGAGGGTCTGGCGATTGGGATCAAGACAGCGCTAGACTACGTGCAGGACCAGGAGGAGGCGCTGACGGGCTTGGACCGCGACGAGATCGCTGGCCACCTGACATGAGGGTCGTGAGCAGGCAGTTGTACGCGGTGCTGGCCCAGCTGTGCGAAGGAGAGGCGTTAAACCTGCTGCAGGCAACGCCGGACAACGACGTTTTTTGAGGCGTGGAAAGCCATCTCGCGCCATTCCGACCCACGGGGCGCTGGGCGCAAGAGGGATATCCGCGGCGCTTGATCCAGCCGGGCTCGTTCGACGCAAAGTAGCTCAACAGCCAGATCGCCAAGTCGCAGGCGCCTACGTGTCTACGAGCGCCGCGCGAACCATCCCGCGCAAGAGGACGTGAAAGCTTCGGTGCTGCTCAGCATGCCGAAGGGTGTGCTCTGGTATCACCTGGTGCTGAATGCGATCACGCTTAAGACGTACGTGAACGTGCGCGAGGATATGCATAGCTACCTCGAGAGCATGCAGAACGACAGACTGGCGCCGATGGACGTTGGAGCGCTGGGCCTTGGCAAGGGAGGCGCGAACATATTCTGCCACACCTGTTGCAGGGCCGAGCGAAGAAGGACTGCTGGCATCCAGGTGGAGGCGCCCGCCAATCCGATCAGAGCAAAACGGCGGCAAGGGCAATGGTAGAGGCAAGGGCGGCAAGAGCGGCAAGAAGCCGAAGGGTGGTGACAAGAACCACAAGGGCGACAGTGCCCCGCAGTTCAGCTCGGGCAAGGGCTGCCAGAAGCAGCCGACGCCGTTGCAGGGCTACTGCTCGGTGTTCTGGGGCTGGGTCCACGAGGGCAAGGACTGCCCTTCCGCGAGCGGGCAAGATCGGACCACGAGCCAGGGCCGCGGGGCCAACTACCTGGAGGAGCACGAGATACCGGAGCCGGAGACCGAGCAGCCTGGGAACCTCGGCGGCGTGGACTTCTGCGCCCTGGAGCTGCACGCCGTGGGCGAGGACGACCAGGAGTTCTTCTATGCAGCGGTGGGCTCGGGAGCAGCGGCCCAGCGAGAGCGGCGCCAGCTATCGGGCGGCCAGCGGGCAGCTGGCGCACGACGAAGGCGACAGGGTCATCGACGTGATGGCGGAGGATGGCGGTGCGAGGTGGTTGAGGTGCACGTCGACCGGAGTGCGTCGCATGCTGCTGGCAGTGTCGAAGCTAGTCGAGAAGGGCCACGAGATGCACTTCGGGCGCGGGGCAGTTGCGTCAAGCGCAGTGTGGGCGGCAGGAAGCTACAGGTGCACCTGGGGCGTGGAGTGCACGCCATCAAGTTGAAGAGAGCGAGCAGGGCGGCGCCCGCTGGGGCGGCGCCCGTGGAGGCCGAAGGCGACGAGCCCATGGGGGTGGACCCGCCAGTCGCGCCGGCTCCGCGGCCGTTCGAGCCCGCCCAGGCTGAGCGCGAGCCGCGCGAGGCGGCTGGCCACGCGCGGCGCGGAGCACGGCGTTGTGACTGCGCGGGCTGGCGCGGCCGCAATGCTGATCATCGACGGCTGAGCGCAGAGCGAGAGCATCTGGTCGACGCGATCTCCATGGACTACGCGTTCTTCGGATGCGACCCGCGGCGGGCAGTTCCCGCCTTGGCGCTGCGTGAGCACGAGGGTCGGCGGGCGGCGCCCATCGCAGTGACGTGCAAGGGTTCGCGCGAGACGTGGATCGTGGTGGCGGTGGCGGAACCCGTCAGGCACGCGGGCGCGAAGCACTTCATTTGTGTTCAAGAGCGACCGAGGGCCGACGATCATTTACGCGAAGAACAATGTCATCCAGAAGCTGGGCGAGACATTGACGACTGCGAAGGAGGAGAGCCTGGTGGGCGCGCGCCAGGCCAACGGCGAGATTGAGTGGGCTGTGCAGTCCGTGTTCGGCGTCTAGAGGGCGCTGAAGCTGGCGGTGTGGCGCCGGCGTGAGATGCTCATCGAGCGCGACCGCGT